ACTTCTGTTCACTGTTTGCCATCCACTACACTTGTCTACTTCTGTTCACTGTTTGCCATATTGTAATTCAAACTCCATTTTACAACGCTTACTCCATTTTCTAAAAGCTTGCTGCAACCTTCATTTTTGCAAAACCCTGCTGTAATCTTATTAGTTTAGTTTAGATGTGTGAATGAGGGATGTATGGATGATGGAATCAACCTCCAGCACCAGCCTGTCCTGATAAAATAGAGTTCAAACACCAACGGCGGAAGATGCAGACAACAGCCCTAACAAAGTAAGAAGAATCCACCCTAAAAAGAAAAGAACAAAGGTACAACAGAAGAAACATCAAAGCCAGGTCCGAGGCTGAAAGTCACGTCTGCAATTGACGGGTGATCAATCACACCGAACCCAAAGGCAGCGTGACACAGCAAGACCTATAGACTGTGGATTCAAACTAAAGCCTACAAAAAGGCTGGGTGACATGGAAAACTTTGGAGGGTAACATTCTGCTGCCAACATGGGAGGGCAGACCCAGGCCTTCCTTGTGCCTGGCTTTCCTGGCCAGTTACCGCCACAAGCGACGAATCCAAGCGACAAAATCAAGCCACAGACTCACGCTATGTTCAGGACTGGTAGTGTGTGTGTGTGTGTGTGTGTATATATATATATATATTAAGGTATTAGCTAGTGGTTGTAGATCAAATTGTAATAATAAATGTGGCATCTTTGCCTTGCCCCCTGAAATGATCCTGTATAGTTTTGTCTGCATAACACGCGTCGCATCCAGGGTCTGCCCGAGCGTACGCGCCTTGCTGCAGTTACTGAGACTGAATCTATTCACTGCCTGCCCGGGGCCAGAATCTCCTCTCGGGCCCCCCCGCCCCTCCGCATCCAACGCGCGGCCTCCAGGGAAAATGAACCGAGAGCTGGAGCCACCCCACTGCCACATCCTCTCCCCATGGAGCCCCCATCCGCTTCCTGCAAAACCAGCAGCCCTGAGGCTTGCCAGGTGAGGGCTCTGCCGTGAACCCCAAGGGGTCCCCCACCACACGCAGCTCCTGTTCCAGACAGGCGCTGCCACGCCAACTCCCACGCTCCCTCCCCGCCCCCACGGCAGGGCGCACTCTCTCCCTGCCCTCCCCGTGCTCCCACCAGTCATCTGACTCCAGCCAACCAAGGTCACAGACCGTGTTGTTCTCACTAAAGCTCCCCCCCCAGAGCACCGGAGACACAAGGCAAGAAACCCCCTCAGTACCGCTCCCGGCTGGGGCTGAGATTGTGAACAGGGGGAGGAAAACAATTCCCCCTCCCGCGCACGAGGACAATAGATGGAGGTGGGGCCGGACGCTGATGGCTCCCTCATGGCCCAGGATGGTTATCTTCAGACACAGTGCGGTGCGGGGGTTTAAAACAGCAGAAAGCGGGAAGGCAGATCAAAACAAAGGGGGAGGTTGCATTAAAATGTTCACAGGAAATAAGGCATGGAGATGACAGGCTGGCGGGGGGCGGGGGAGGGGCTCTAGATCACGGTTTTGTCCAGATCCACCTTGACCGGCAGCGGCCCCGCCTCCTCGTTGTCGTCCGCTGGGCAGATGGTGACAGCGATCACAGGGTGCAGAGAAAAGGGGGCCGAGCCATCCAGGTCCTCCAGGTACTCCTTATCGCCATTAATGCTCAGCGGCTGGAAGAGAGTCAGAGCCAGACACCAGGTGACAGGGCGTGGCCGGGGGTGGAGGGGGCTGTGGCAGCAGAGAGGGGGGACATATCGCGGCAGGGGGCTGGTTTGCACCCATCGGGGACACAGCCCAGAGTCTGTTATCACCACGGCTCCCAGAGTTTCTGGGATTCATTTCCCAACTGGAGCCACGATTTAACCCCTCAAAATAAACCAGTCTCGGGCGCTGCTTGGCTAACGTCACGCTGTGAAGTGCCAGGGCCCCGGTGTACTGGGGGCATGTGCGAGGATGGGGTATTTTTTTGTGCTTTCCAGGCTCTCCTCCCCACTCAGTGTCACCACCATGCTGCTCTCCACCAGCAGACAGCGCTATGCAGGCCAAGGGTACGAAGTGCCCCCAGCCCACCCGGACGTCCCCCAGTGGGCTGTGGCTGGGCTCAGCGCACGGTCCCGGCTCAGTGGCATCTGCACCTGAGTTTGCCCTAGGATGCCGGCTGGCTCTGTACCTGGGTCTTGATGTGCTGGTCCGGGGCGGTCACTAGGCTGGCACAGCTGAGCCACAACATCACCATGATGGAGAGGAAGAGGCAGGCAGCCAGGATCCAGCGAGGAAGGCCTGAGCGCCTGTAGCACCCCACCACCCCCCGCCAAAGAGAGAGGACAAGTTTATGGCTGGGCATCAGGGTGGAGGGGGGCACAAACAGGACTCAGAGCTGGCCGACGAGGGAAGGATTTCCCCTGGCTACCACCAACCTGCCTCCTCCACGGAGCATTCCCTTTGCAGTCTCACCCCTGGCCAAATAACCCCACCCCCCACCAGATAGCCCTGCCCCCAACCAAATAACCCCACCCCTCACCTAGATGGCCCCGCCCCTGGACCAAATAACCCCACCCCTCACCCAGATGCGCCCCACTCTTGGACCAAATAACCCCACCCCTTGCTAGTAACATTTTGCAAGAGTGGTTTATTCTGCAATGGAAATCCCTATCCCCACCTCACTACCCCCCCTCCCCTTTCTAGCCCCCTGTCTCCTTTCCTCCCCCCCACATATCCCTCCCCCAATTTGCCAAGGCTTTTCATTCTGCCTCTCCCTCTGCCCCCCTCACCCCTGCGGGGCCAGGCCTGCACCTACTTGGACATGCAGCCCAGGAAGTCGTGCTCTGGTTGTTGGGTCTCCAGGTGCTGGAGCTTGGCTTTGCTCTTTGGCTCTTTCATGGGGGGTTTCTCCAGCTTTTCCTGGGGGCCTGGCAGGACGACACCCAGACCCAAGTGACTCCCCGGCCACAGCAGGCTGGGCACAACCACCGGGCCCCCAATGAAGCTGGGGCAGCTGCTTGCGTGCCAAGGCCAGGAAGGGGAGGGTAGAAAACGGGGCAAAGAGGACTGCAAGGTCTTGACCTGGCTTACTTGATAGCAGCCTAGAACGAGACCATCCCCCAAAGCCTTAAAATAATGATCACTCCAGGCGTTAAACTAGGCTCCAGGAGGCTGGGCACAGCCCCCCCAGCCCCCCACTGGAACGTCGCGACGGGGCTATGACTGGTCAGGAGCCCGTGCGCAGTGAGTTTGGTGGGTTCTCAGTTTGGTTCCCAGCACCCAGGTGTCCACGGCTCAAACCCACCCCCACAGGCCTCGTGCTGGCAGCCTCGGCAGAGGCTGGAGACGGAAGGGGACAGGGCACCTGAGCTGCCTGATGCCCCACCCCAGGTCAGGACTGTGTGTGGAAGCTCCCAGAGTAGGGGGGATGGTCCCAGCTCAGTGGAGGGGGGCATGGGCGGGATGGGCGATCTGCCCCTCGGGTAGAAGAGTGTGTGCATGTACCAGGGGGGCTAATCAGAGGCCACAGGCTCTAGAGAAACCGGCTCAGAGCTGGAAGCACTTTCCAGCAGCTCCCAGCCCCCTCGCCTCCTCGCCCCACCTGGCCCAAGCACTGCCCCTTGCTCACCTGTGTGGGGCTTCAGGGTGTTAGGACTGGAGACAGGCCAGGACTTCTCCATCAGCTCCGACTTGGGCGCTGGCGCCTCGGGCACCGGGTACTCGATCTCCGGCTGGGACTGAGGGGTTAGGGTTCAACCAGAAACAAAAAGGACCAAAACGCAGTTAGTGACTGAGCCCCAAAACCTCCTGTGGGGGCAGGACTGGCCCATGGGGGGGAAGCACGCGGGATAGTGAGGGCCAGATCCCTCCTGCTGCATTAACCCCCAGAGACAGCCTCTCGCTGTGTCTGGGCAGCACCTCACACAGTGGGGCCCAATCTCAGGGCCCGTCCTCGGCCGCACCAGATACAAACCACAGCAGTTATTATTGTAGGGACGCAGGACTTGCCACAAAGGCTCAGACACTGGTTTGTCAGTCAGCCTGTCTGTCTGGCCGTTGTACTTCTCGGGCGCCTGTCACCTCGGCCGTGTCTGAGTGCTGGATGAGACCATCTAGTCTAGCACCAGACCATGACTCCATCTGGTAGCCCAGTATCCTACCTCCCTGCTGTACCTAATGTGGTGTCCCAGTCCTGGTTCTGGCCAATACCTGATGCTTTGCAGGAAGGCAAATATACCTGGTCACTGGTGAAATGCTCGGCACGGGTGGGATAAGAGGGAACCCCTTCCTGACCCCCTGCAGCACTAGCTTCTGCCCTGAAGCATGGGGTTCCGTGCCCTGTTCCCACAGCCACGCAGGGCCACTGATGACCTCAGCAGCGTGAGCCTGCCCTACCTGGAACACCACCACTTTGCCATCGTCTGCCTGCAGGTAGAAGGTCCAGGTGGAGGAGATGAAGCTCTGGGCAGAGCTGACGATGTCGTTGCAAAAGCTGGAGACCAAGTCAAACATGGAGAAGGACACGGGCTGCAGCTCCAGACTCTGAAAATCAGCAAAGAGAAGAGCACCAGCTCGCTGTGCTGGGAACCTCCGCGTCGTCCTGCCCCACCCCAGCCCCGGCTCTCTAGCGCACAGGAGAGGCCGTTCAGGACTCAAGGCTCTGCTCCAGGGCTCTAAAGCAGGTCTATTGACCAGACCATGCTGAATGACCCACCGCAGCGCTCTTGGCCTTAATGAGCTATGAACCCTCCTGAGAGTGACAGGATGGTCTAGTGGTTAGAGCACTAGCCTAGCCCTTGGGAGACCTGGCCTCAATTCTCAGCTCTGCCACAGAGTCTCTCTGTGACCTGGGGCAAGTCCCTTAGCCTCTCTGTTCCTCAGTTTCCCCACCTGTGCAACGGGGATTACAGCCCTGCACCGCGATGATTAATCCATTGCCGACATGGAGACTCTCAGATGCTGCAGGGAGGGGGACAGAAGACAGCTAACCTCCATATCGCCCAGGGCAGTGGCTGGCATGAAATGCGTTCATAGGACTCCGTCTAGGGCCCCCTGCACAAGCACTCGTGCCTTCTCGAAGCACCATTGGCCTCAGCACGAAGGCCGCGAGCTGAGCGGGCCAGGGAGATCAGAGTCGACACACACTGGCAGGAGGTGCTGGGGATAAACGGGGGCTGCGTGGCTGCCAGCCCAGCTCCTTCCACCAGCACTAAACTCACATGAAAATGTTATAAAGAAGAGGAGCTGAGATGCCGAGGGCGTTTCTCATCTTGGCAGCTTAGCCATGCCCCGGATTCTTGGCTCTTTGCAAGGTTTGTTATGTTTTAAAGCATCCCTGCTGGAATCTGCTTGGCTGCTCCTTGCCATGGACGTAGAACATTTTCCAAGGCTGGGCATGCCAGAGCCCCTCATATGGTCAGATGAGCAAACAGGAAAGAAATAGGTCAGGTTCTGTAGCTGATTATTGTGCTAAATCTGCTTTGCTTGCTTGCCCAGGAATCCAAAGGAAACATATTTTGGGTGGAATGAATGGAATCAGGGAATGTTTGGAACGCTATCGCCATGGAGCAATCTTGTTTGGGACCTGGCCTTTCATAGTTTCATCCACCCATTCTTTCAGGGGAAGCAGGGACAGATGCTTGTCCCCTTTACAGGGACAGCTGCCACTCCGATACAGCCAAGCAACTGAGGCTTCTTTCTCACAAAGAAAAACATTGACCTCTGCCACTGATTCTGTGTTCGACCTTGGGCATGTCACGGGACCATTTCACGCCTAAGTTTCCCCATGTTTAATGCTTGTTACCAGCCTCCCAGGGGTTCATTCATTAATTAGTAGAAAGCACTTTGAGCTCTTGGGCTGAGAAGCTATAGAGGCAGCACCGTATCCCCATGCCTGATCCTTGCTCCTTACTGCAGAAAGCCATCCTGCAAAGGTGAAAGCCTCTACCCGAGGCCAAAGGCTAACCCAGTTATTTGGGCAAAAGCTGAATCAATTAAATGTAGGAGGAAAAGAGGCGGAGAAAGGGATAGCCAATCAAAACCCAGGGAACCTGGAATAATCACAGGTAAGAACCTTCCATCTTGGGAATTCAACACCACTCCCTAGCTTAGCCCAAATCAACGGCAGGCCTAGCACAATGCAATGAACCTGCCGTTTATGATTTGATTTAAATAGCACAACAGCCCTGCACTGGGTGGTTCTGCTTCCAACAGCCCAGACCGACCCACTCCCTGGGCAATGTTATTAGAAGGTTCCCTATAAGCACTGGCGCCATTCACCTGTCTCCTGCATCCCAGGTACCTGGTGACCATCAAATGCCCCGAAGGTGTGCCATGCAGGCGGGATTCTCGGAGGGGGAACGACAAGGACATGAAATAAGCAAAGACCCCTTTTTGCTGTCAGATATTTGTAAGTGTTGTTTGCTAATGGGGAATTTTACTGCTGCGTGAGGGGCTGCAAAGACCTGAGATTGCAGGGATTCAAAATGCCCGGCTGCAGAGCGCAGAGCCAGGACAGCGTCTTCCAAAGGGCTGCAGCCATAGGTGTAATGACGCTGCGATGTGGGGGTACGGCACACGGCTGCTGCCATGTGGTGGCAAGGGGGACGTGGGGCAATTGAATAAAGGGGGACAGCTGACCAGATGTCTGTGCTTCAGACAGGTGGCCTACGAGGAGTTATCACAGCCGCCTCCATCTTCAGCCAGCTGATCTGCTGAGTGTGCGCTGGGGGGGGAAAGGGAGAGACGTCGGGAAGGGGAAATGGCAACCAGGATCTACAGTTTTCCTGTTTCTTTCATTTTACAAAGGAAGTCAGCCTCTATCTAGCTGCTACGGCTGGAGCTTCCAAAGGTGAAGTGAGCGTACAGGGTGGAGTGACGCCTGCCTGAGTCTGCAGTGAGCCTGAAGCAATAGCTCCAAGAAGGTCACTGCCCCGTCCATTTCAACCGGTGCTAGCTCAGATCCAACCTCCCTGCTCATCGCAGCACGTGAGGAAGGAGAGGATGGGTCGGACTGTGCAGATCTGCACCATCATTGCCCAAAATGCGGGCGGGGGATTACCGGCAGGGAGGTGGCATGGTGGAAGATGAATCCGTTCCAATGGAAAAGCCTTTAACCCCAGGGAGAGAGCGACTGACCTCGTCCTCCTGACGGGCAGGCTGAGACACGTTAGACGTGGCTCCACCTAGGCGTCAATGCTGTCCCTGCCCACTAGCTCTCACTGCCTCTGCTGTCCACACAGGGGCCAGGTCAGCTGGGATCGGAACACGCAGTGCTGCCTCCTCCTGGGGTCTGAGACAGAACTTGTCTCCCAGTCCCTTTAAAATCCAAACAGCCCCAGGGTATCACCCCCTTGGCGTGCGGCTGGGCTCTGTGCAGCAGCCGCACTGGACACCAGAACCACCAGCAAGCTTTAAACCCCAGGTTTGGCCAGGACCGACACTCCCTCCCCGCTGCTAGGCACAGCCAGTCACTCCTCCGAGCCTGTCTGCCGTGGCAGCTGTCAGCACAGATACGTCTGTCACAGCGGTTCCAGGCTGCCCTGCCCGCGCCCACGCCGCTCTCTCGCCCACGTGTCTGCATGCCCTGGCCCCCAGACCTCTTCCGGGGGGAGACCCATCAACAGCCCCTGTGAGACGGCTGCAGAGCAGGACCCACTGCCCCAGCCACTGGAGGGCGAGTATGGATCCTCCTGCGCCCAGGCCCTGAGCACGGCTCCCAGGGGAGCAGCCATGTGTCTGCTTGGAGCAGTATGGGGGCCCCGCGTCCCGGGAGCAGGTACTGACCACACACCTGCAGGACCCTGCAATCCCAGACCAGGCCATCGGCCCTTCTAGCCCCACCTCCTCCCGCCAATCCCCAGTGCTGCCAAAGGAGACAAAAGCTCCCCACAATGCAGCTGGGCGGAGATGCAAGGTGCTGTACATGGGGCCAAGGAGCGGATTAGCTCCCAGCCCCTGCTGCTCCAGGCAGTCTCCTCACGCTCTGCTATAGAGAGGTCTGATCATTGCAGCTTTGCCATGCGACGGTGAAACAGAGCATCCAGGGGCCCAGTCTCAGGCGGCCTCTCCCAACGCCCCACAGGGCACGCGGAGGCCGGGGTATCCCAGGGCTCAATCCACCCCAGTGCTCTCAATGCAACACCTCGTGCTGGGGCTGAACGAAATCCAACCCCTCCCCACTGAGAACAATAAAAGCTGCGTCTGGGTAGCAATGTCCCCTCACCACACGCCCCGGGGCCCTGCCGGGCACAGGGCTAACACCTCACACACTCCCACTGGGTGAAGAAGGATGCGAGGGTCGCGGTGGGGGCTTGCAATCAGTCTGGGGCGGGGGGGTCTGGCCCGAGATCGGCTGCGTGGTGGTGCCATCTCCAGACCATCGGTGCTGAGGGGCTCTGTCATGGCTGGAGCAGGGACTGTATGCGCTCCACCGGGGGTGGGGAGGGGGAGAGGGTTACCACAGCCCAGCAAAGAAGGGAAAACAGCAGGGGGTGATGAAGGCAAATCACTCAGATTACAGGCTTCTGGTCCAGCCTGGATTCTCCAGGGACCAACAGACCGAGAGAGGAGATTTGGCCTGAACAGCCTGAGCTGGGACAGACTCAAGGCTTCATTCTGCTTCCTGATCTCAAGGCCGATATGAACTTGTAACCAGAGGAAAAGCCCAGTTGTGGGTTTGAGGGACCGACCGCTACCAGGGCCCCAGGCCGGAGTCAGGGGCACCTCTCGGTAGAATGCAGGTAGGGCCTTTTATTGGTTTTAGAGGCTTTCTCTGTAATGCTTTTACCCTCCAGGATAAATGCGCTTGCTGAGCAGGAGCTGGGGGGTAACTGGTAACGTGCTGGTCTCAGCCCCCGGAGAGAGAGCGAAGCACCAGCGCTGGCTGCTTAGGCCGCTGGGGATATCGCCGTGTGGAGCAGGGAGCTGGGGAGTGAGCCACCAGGCTCCACCCAGGAGAGATGACGCTGAGAGCCGAATGACGCTCCCTGACACAGCCGCCAGGGAGCACGTAGGGGGGAAAACAGCTGCCGTTCCCCCGAATCTCTCAGTCCTCCACTCTACTCACTAGCCACATACCCATCCTCTCCAAGAGGCAGGAATAGAACCCCGGAGTCCTGCCTCCCAGCCCCCACTGCTCCGCTCGCTGGACACTTCCAGAGCCAGGAGTCCTGTCTCCCAGTGTCTTGCTTGGCTCACTCGCTAACAATCCCCTCCAAGGACGGGCAGAGAACCCAGGTGTCCTGCCCCCCTGTTCTCTGCTCTAACTGCTGGATGGCACTGCCTGACCGTGGCTCTGAGGACACGGCAGCCCAGGCTGGCTTCCTCTGGAACAGATGCACCGTGACTCACTCACATGGGGATGTTCCCAGCCCTTGCCTTCCCCGCCTTCTGCCCACAAGCACTTTGGAGAAGGAGCCAAATGCACGAGCCTCGGCCTCCTGGGATGGACAGACCACAGAGCTCTAATCCGATTAGAGCTGGTTTCCAGAAACTGTGCCCTTGTGCTGCTTCCCGCTCCCGGCTCTGGAAACGGCTAATCTGGTTCCCCCCACCAGGGCATTGGCGCCAACGCTGCACCGTGGACAGGTGCCAAGAGGGGACGGAGCCCTGCATCACCCGCCCAAAAAGTGCAGCGCTCCCCTGGGGGACTGTGCCAGAACCACCACCAGAAAGGGGGGGAACAAGGTCAAATGCTCCCATCACGCACCCTCCGAGTGCAGCCGGATCCACCTGCTGCGTTTCTAGGGCGGCCCTGGCCATGGCCCTTTGAACACAGCTGGGTTGGGTCCCTTTTCCCATTGCACCTTTGGCCAGCACGAACGATGACGAGGGAAGAAGGGAAAAGGAAGAGAGGAGAACGTGCTGCCGGACAAGGGGGTTCCACGCATTCCTGCCGGGCCGAATCAATGCAAGGTCCATGTGCCCTTCCTCTGCTCCACTTACCTCCGGGATGCAGAGTCTAGACAGAGGGGGCAGGGCAAACTCTCCCTCTATCCTTCAATCAGACAGCGAATTCCTCTGCATCCGCAGATCCCGCCAGCCCTGCACTGGTCTCCCCAGCTGCCCAGAGGATCGTCTTCCTCCAGGACACCCTGTTGGCTCCGTACGTTCACGGCACCCTGAGCCGACAGGCGCCAGCGGCACAGCTCTCTGGGCTTTGGCCCCCGAGAGATAACAAGGGCATGAGGAAGAAGGTAACGGCCCTGTACCCAACCCGCCCTCCCCTGTTCCTCGGCGTGAACTGCTGCCTGCCCCATCCCACGGGGATCCCCCAGAGCTGGGCTGAGGACAGCAACTGCCCCGCCAGATTTCCTCATGACACAGCCATTGAAAGGGACCTTTGGTTACTGCCCCTGGAACGGACAGGGCTCTGTCTGCAGGAGGGGGCCTCCATTCCAGGTGCTGTCGATCCAGGTTTTCCTCCCAGCTGTCCCAGGCGAGAGGCCGAGCTCACCCAATCTGCTGGCCAGATGGTCAGCTCAGCACTGCCGAGAGATGAGCACGAGCTGGCTTCCGGCCCCCGCCTGGAATGGACCCTGGCTCTAACCCTGCTCCCAGGAGCCTTGGGCCATGGTGGGAGAATGGAACTCCGTCAGCTCCTTGGCTTCCCTGCCAGCGCGGCTGAGCCGGAGACGGGAGGGGCCGTCTGCTGGTGCTCATCTCCCACTATGATCCAGAGGTGCTGCAACTAGGGGTGCTGGGGGAGCTGCTGCACCCCCTGGCTTGAAGGGGTTCCCATCGTACCCTGCGGTTACAGCTTGGTTCAATGGCTCCCAGCCCCACCACTGTACACACTGTTCCAGCCCCCCTGCTGCGAGCTGCTCTGTTCAGGCCCATTACCCAGGCAGCAGAGCCCCTTGGCACTAGGGAAAGAGGAGGCTGAAACCTTGTCTTTCCGGCTCTGCGATTCGGGCAGCTGCTTCCTGCATCCAGTCGTGCAGCCGAACTGCTCCTCGGCGCTGCCATAGGCTTCGATACAAGCTGCAAGACAGGAGGGGAAGGGAACGGTCAGGGCCCGGGCACCCGCAGCCGTCGGATACGAGCGAATTCGGAGCTCAGGACAACAAGGGGCTGGCAGCACGGCCTAGAGCCAGGCAGAGCCCACCCTGCTCTTCCAGGGCACCCACAGCCCCCTGCTATGCCAGCCCTGGGCTCCCATGGGCAGCTGTCGGCGTTCCTCAGCCCTGACTGCTATTCCAGAGCTGGACTTCTGCACAGAGAGAGCCAGGTCACAGTCAAAGTCCTGTGACGTGGACAAACGCCCCCCCGGACTGGGATGAGACCCCCCCAGCTCTGAGTCAAACACCCAGCTCCAGGGTGTGTCCACCAGCCAAACCCCGTCCGACAGCCCAGCGGAGTCACCCGGAGAGCGCCCCTGGGCTGAGCTGGGCACACACAGAGCTGCCTGACGGGCTCCATGCCCTATTTCATTTCTGCCCAAAGACTAATCAATCATGGCAATCAGCACAACGTTCCCAGACAGGTCTCAGCCTCCAATAGGAAACACCTGGATTTCCCATAAGCAGAGCATTAGCCCACGCCGGAACGGCCCAGCCCCCGTTCCAAGCAGCTACCCTGAGATCCCAGCGGCATGGTATAGGGGGGTCGTCTCCCCTACAATACCCTAGACACTGAGGCCTTGTCTACTCTGTGGGGACATTAAAGCCCCCAGAGCACTTTTCCCAAGAGTAGGGGGGTTGCCCAAATAGCCTCGGCTGAAAAGTCCACCTGCCCTGGTGCTGAATACCGGCTGCTCCGCTCCGCCCCAGAGGTGGCTGCAGTTCAGTGAGGCTGCAAAGTGCTTTGGGATCCTTTGAGATGAGACGCACTGGGGGGTTAGCACATCGTCCCTGGGCCAGGGATGAAGCCTGGTTTGCTCACATGGCACCGGGAACTTGCTGGACAGCCTTCAGCCTGGCGGGGGGACTCGGCTGCTGCTCTGGGAAACTTCCATCTTTGCAGCTGCCCGCCGGTGAGGCTAGAGCTGCACCCCTGGCGGGGTGGTTGGCTTCAGCAGAGGATCCTCCCCTCCCTTCTCCTACCCCTTTGAGAGGTTGAACTCACGATCAGAACACTATTAATCCCCTTGGTATTTGGTGTGGCCACAGCCCTAATGGGTTCATGTGGGGCCTTGCATCCACGTGACCCTCCAACTTCCAGGATTTCCACCAGGGAGTGAGTGGAGCCGGCCCGGATTTGCACCAGGGAGCGAGCGGAGCCAGCCCGGATTTCCACCAGGGAATGAGCGGAGCCGGCCCGGATTTGCACCAGGGAGCGAGCGGAGCCAGCCTGGATTTGCACCAGGGAGTGAGCGGAGCCAGCCTGGATTTGCACCAGGGAGCGAGCGGAGCCAGCCTGGATTTGCACTGCTGGTGCATCACGGCCATGGAACTTTGTCTGGACAGCATGGGAGCGCAGAAGGCGCAGAAGCAACCTCTGTCCTGACAGGAATAAGTGGAGAAGCCACTTCTGGACAATGTAACTGAGGGGCCGTGGGAGAAGAGGGGAGAGAAAGTTAATTGGCTGCGCTGTTCTTTACCTGATTCACATTCGGCTCTGGTTGTGTTCAGCTCGGCGCTCGCATCCACAAAGTGACAGATGGAGAACAGCCGGCATCCTCGGTAACAGGCGTTGAGCACGGCATCCTGGAGAGAGGAAGAGGAGAGCTAGGAGCCGGTACAACACACAGTGCAGTGGCTGCACCCCAGCGTCCTGCAAATACCCGAATGCCCCTGGGGACCCAGCTGTGCTCTGGGACTGGGGCAGCAGGGAAGGGGCGGGGCGGGAGGGAGCTATCCACTGCATGGGACCAGGACCCCCAGTGGTTGGATCTCTGACACCAGCTCCAGATCCTTCCTCCCTGTCGATGGACCACAAGCATCAAGACCTAGCACTACGTCTAGGTGGTGGCACCGTCTCCCAGGAGGGGTGGTGGAACCCCAGTGCGTTGGGCATTTACCGCGAGGCTGGACAAGGCCCTGCAGAATACACTGTAGGGAAGAAACGGGGATAGGGCTCCCAGGGGAATGGACTAGATCAATGGTTTACAACCTGTGGACCATGGAGCCCTGGGGGTTTGCAGACTATGTCTAAGATTTCCAAAGGGGTCTGCACCTCCATTCGAAATTCTGTAGGGATCCGCAAATGACAAAAGGTTGAAAAGCCCCTGGACTAGAGGAGCCCGAGCTGGCCTTCTGCATCTCTAACTGGTCTGACCCTCCTGGCACTGGGCAGCCTGCAGCGCCGCATGGTTCTCTGAAAAGCTCCGTGTGACGTTGGAAACGTCTGGCTGCCCAAGAACCATGGGCCTGGCGAGCCAACAGGACGTGCGTTTCTCACACAGACTCTGTGGGCCCATGCACGTGGGGGAGTCTGCGGGTAGCTGTCCACGCATATGTTCGCTGGGGGGGGCACAGTTCTGAGGGCACCTTCACCCCCACCCCCCCAGAATCCTGACTGGCCCGAGAGAAACGGCTCCTACCATGGGGCTGGGCCCCAGGGAGAGCTGCTCCGGCCTCAGCAAACACAGCAGCTTCAGCAAAAGAACCGAGGTGCCGTTTGCTGCACTCGTCTCCTGGGTGCTGCGCCCAGCAACCTGCCCCCGTATCGTCACTGACCAGCAGTGGGGCAGTTCGGGGCCGCAGCAGGACACACAGCCCCCTCCCTCTGCCTAGCTGTCTTTGCCAGGGCCCGATTCTGCCAGGCAATCACCCACAGCAGCCCTGTGAGGCGAGGCCAACCCTGAGCCCTCTCACCTGAGCTCACCTCTGCCCCACACGGCCACTGAGGAGGCTGCTTGGAAACCAGCCATGTGACGCTTCCACCTTAGTCTCTGTGGCACCACAGCTCAGGACCTGCACTTGGCACGGGGCGTCCTTACACGCGTGTGAAATATTGATCCCTCCCCAGTGTTAGTATCACCAATATCGTGTGTATTGGGATCATGCCTGGCTGGGATCAAGGCCCATTATGCTCAGGGCCGGACACACGCGTAACAAAAGGAGGGTCCCTGACCCACGGTAAAGTAGCTACACCACTACCTAGCTCTTTGAATGAGTAGATTTGAAATCATTACCCCCATTTTACAGATGGGGAAACTGAGGCATGGAGCAAGGACGTGACTTGCCCAGGGTCATCTAACAGGCCAGTGGCAGAGGCAGGAATAGAACCCAGATCTCCTGAGTCTCAGGCCAGTGTTCTAGCCAAGAGACAGCAAACAGACCCAACAAAGACCAGGCAGGAGCCCCCAGGAAGAAGGAGATATTCCCATCAGTCTGACAAGCAGCTGACCCAGTCACCGCGGAGCACTCTGCAGGGAGGGTGAAAGAGGTGAGTTTTAAGGCAAGCTTGGCAGGAAGTCAGCGTGGCCCTGGACCAGCGATTGTAAGTAGGGCTGGGATTACCCTTCTCTACGTGCGTGGCGATCTCGCTGCATGAGACTAAATGACAGTAAACCCAGAACTAAAACAAGGGCAAGAAAGGAAAATGCCTGGGAATAACTGAGCACTGGCTGGCAAATGGAGCCCACAGAACTGCACGGTTGGTTTTCTGAGACCACGAGTGATTTATTCCAAAAGGGGGCAAGGGAATTTCCCATCTCCACCAGTCTGTCCTTTGGCTCGACATGTTCAGCAACCTGCCAGCCCGGGAGTGTATTTCTCTATGGTTGCATTTGAAGACAGACAAAGACACACGATTTACCTAAGTCTACAGCTTCATAACCTCTGCTTTGCACAGAACACCAGGGCTGAATCCCAAACGTCTCTGTGCCAGGAACTGGGAGCGCAGCCCTGCATTTCTCATGCTCAAATGCTGCGCGGATAACAGAGATGCCGTTGGATGCCCTTCGGCATGAGCCTTTAGAAGGATCCATTTTACACTTCCTCTTCGAGGGTCCATGTATCAGACAACTGGCCTGTACACTGAGGGACGCCCTAGGGCATGGAAGCGGGGTAGGATCATCCTTGCTAAGAAAGGGAGACGCTGTCCAGGGTCACTAAAACAAACAACTTTTATCGCCGCCTGCCCAGCTTCTGTCTGGGCAAACGAACAGCCACTTGCAAGGGGATACACCGGAAGAGCCCAGGCTGCCCAGTTTCCATTTTAAGACGCTAGCTCTTCCCCTGAAATCACTGCTTTATGCACATCCTGGCTCAGAGGAGTTATTCCAGCAGGAAGGAGATGCTGGCATCCAAGTGGACTGCAGCAGCATCCAGTCCCCTCCATTCTCTGCTACATCGCGGGCAGCCAAAGCCTTGTGCAAAAGCAACCCCGGGACTTGTACAGCACAGCCCAAGGCTGCCCTGATTTTTTTAAACATGGAGGTGCAGTGGGCAGAGGCGACAGAACCCAGCATGCAGTGTTCCAGCAAAGGCACTCAGATCTCCGCAGAACACTGCATGTTGGGATCTGTAGTCTCCACAAGCCGCAGCGAGGTGGCTGCAACCAGCCGAACACCATACAAGCCAGGTGCTGCCCTCACACGCTTGGGCGAGTTGCTAAGGCCAGCTGTAAGCTTTTCCTTTTTGCAGCATGTGTCATGTACTTCAAGCGGGTTTCACATTTTAAGCATGTCTTTGCGAGATATCAAGTTACAGACCCCCCCAAATGTTTTCGATTCGCAGCCAGCTCCTGCGGCTGAACCCACAGGGACTCCACGCTTTCACCTCCAAAGCAGGATCGCTAACCAGAAAGCAGCCCAAATGGCTTGGAAATCCGCCTTCCCATTTCAGAATAACACGAGTTCTCACACGCACCCGGGTACAAAAACCTACCCAGAACAGCCCCAGTCCCCCCCCCCGCCTTCCTGTTCGTTTGAGAAAATCCTTCCCCCAAAGCATTATTTATTGCAAACAAACAATCCAGAAAACAAAAGCTAAAATGGACACGACCAGGACATGGAAAAATCTTGGGCTTGGAGTTTTTCAAGGATTTTTACTGTTGCTGCACAAACCAAAGTCGGTCCCATTTCTGGAGGAAAGGGGACGACACCAAGTGCAGATAAACCTGTTCAATAGATTGTCAAAGGATCGGTTACCAAGTCTGGGAGGACAAAGACCGGATTCTTCTTTCCTGATGAATGACCAGAGTGGATACCATGAATGGGGGTGGGGAGTATTTCAATTACTTTTTAACTAAACTATTATTATTGGTGTATTATGGATGGCAAGTGTCTGATGACACCATGTATTTCCCCCTCCTCCCTTGAACTGGTTTTAACAGCAGAAAATGTGACTGGTTTTAAAACAATCACCTGGGCTTTTCCCCTGCTGTGTTTGGATATGTCACATGGATCTTTGATGGCCTTTCCTACCTGCCAACGTACGACCTTAGTACATTTATTATGGCAAGGCTAGGCAGACTCTGATCCGAGGCCTTAGTTTGAAGTTATTAGTCTAGAAGCCAGAACTGGGGGGTTTTCAATGATTATTGTTTGTATGGTTCTTGTCATTGCCGCTCTTATGAATGATACTCAAGCGATTTCCTGAGAGCACTATTGGCTCCAGCACTAACGACAGCTTCATCGAATGCTGTGCGTACACCAGTGTGAGGAGTTTGGCAGTTCTCAGTCTCCGACACGGCCCTCCCCCCTTGCGGAGGAGGCATACTGGAAGGAGAAGGTGCCCTAGGGATGCAGTGCTTTTCTCTCACTCATGGGTTTTCTGGAGAATGGGGCGGGGAGGGGAATACACAGACATCTTTCAGCTGAGCCTGTGAGGGGGGAGCCGTGGGAAAGAAAGCAGGTGTCCGGCTGCATAACACAACCAGATCCAGCCACTGGCTTCTGCTCTTTAATTGGACACCTGGCGCCTTGCAGAATAAAATGGATGAACAGCAATTTTATCAACACCATCCGTCATCGCCCGCCCCCAACCCCCGCACCTGGGCAGCAGCCTCTGCCCGGGCACCTTCCCCTAGTCAAAGAGCATCTCCTTGATGAATGCCCTTATTTTTAGTAAGACGCTCACACCCCCCTCCCCCCCCGGCTCAGGTTTTTTAAAGGACCCCCCCTCAGCACCAGGCTCGGTCAGGAATCCATGGGCAAGGCTTTCAAAGGGGAGCCGGCCAGCCTAGAGGCCCCGAACCCCCATAAGCAGAAAGAGGCAGAGGCAGAGCCAGGCTGGGGGGGGGTGAGAAGGGGGGGGTTCCACATGACAAACCTTCTCCCTGCTGCAAAAAAAAAAATAATTAGACCCATCAGCCCCCTTCCTCCTTGCAAAACAAATCAATCCCCCCCCCCCTTC